CTGTTTTGTTGCAGGATTTTCCATTTTGCGTGCGTTCAGCTGGGGAAATAGTTTTTCTTCCCATTTAGTAAAATGAGCTTTCAGCCCAGCGGCAGCAGGATCGATACGGGACTTCAGTGAAATATAAATCTGGGCAGCAAAAGGAAAAACAATCTCTCGCTTGCAAGTACATCTGTCCCAAAGGGCACACAGGGCTTGTCAGGCTGCAGAGATCCAAGCACTATTCCCTGCAGGATCGTGGAGTGACATCAGCAAAAGAGGAACAAAAACCCCTATTTGTAACAAAATCACAACTCCTTAATGCTGTGGGGAAAGTACCCACTTGAAACAGTACCCAGCTGCCAAAGCATGATTTTCTGAGTAAGCCAAAAAAAGCCTGCAATGGCAAATGCAGCAGATGTGTCCAGATGCTGCAGCAAAGTGGGAGCATGAATTATTCAGGATGGTGCTTCACTTTGGTCGTCGCCGAAGCAGTGACCCCTTCTCACCTTTCCTTCACTGTCCCTGCTAAGTAATGGCAAATAAATCATCAGTGTCACAAAGTAGGTAATGTTTGTTTGAAGGACCCATGGCCCAAGGGTGGACAGAGTGGTTGAGGGATCGTTGGAGCATGATGGGTGTTAGGAGTCTTGTCCATCCTGACATGTATAAGGCAATAACCTGTCCTTCATGATGGGTCACCTGGAGGGAGAAACGAAACAGCCATAACAATATGTGTAACTGCTGTGCTCCCTCTTTATCACCTCTTTGAAGTCACGGGTTGATGGACAGGAGAGGATCAGGAGTTTACATGAGATTAAAACAGTTCCTGGGTAGAAATAGAGTTTGGGATACCTGGTGTTTTGTTCTTGGACATTCATCCCCTTATCCTCAAGCCTCTCTGTCTTGTGGCCTCTGCCTTGGAGAATGAATGAATCAGTAATTGGCTGAACCGAAAAGGGGAGGAAAAGGTAACCATCATGGGCAGAAATAGCTCCATGCTAATTGTAGCAATTAATTAACTAAACCTCCCCCTCCCAGCAGCCAGGCAGCATGGTGGAACAAGATCAGAAACTGCTGGGGAAGCCACTGTGCACATTTTTCTGGTTGTACTTGTTCCTGAGTGTGTGTCTGCATTATACTGGTCCAAAAGCCTTGATAGGTCTGGCCCCACCACCAGGTTGTTCCCAGCTGGGTTGTATTTGCATCCCAGCTGGGGAAACACTCCACCACCGGCAAAGGTGTTTATTACAGTTGCCATCACGTACTGAACTACCTCCTCCTTTAAGGGACACCTCACATGAGCTGAGCCCAGCCACTGGTCACTAGTTAGCTTTTAACCCACCGGTGGTGGAAGACAAAGCCTGTTTCACCAGCTCACCATGATAATGGGGAAAAGGCAGGTTTTCAGTCATTTTTTGGCACAATTTAGTAAGCAAATGAGCAACCTGAAAGCAGCTACATGTGGTGATACAAACTGGCTGCAAAGCCACTGCGCTGGAGTGGGGCTGTGCTTGGGTGCTGCCCACACTCTCAAAAGGCAAAGCGACTAAAAAGCCAAACAAATTTACACCCTTTGATGCTTCTTTGTATTTGCAGCTCAGTGAGGAAGTGTAAATTTTCTGTCGCTTGGTTTTCACATTAGTCCTTTGTGTCCTGTCTAGACTAGGGGACTTCAGGATTAAGAAATAGGCTGGACTTTAGGGTGGTTCAGTGTCATGGGATGGTTTGCTGCTGGTTTTGCTCATCGCTGGCTATGTTATACATCTGGTTCAGCGGAAGGAAGCTCATTTCAGCCTCAGGGGCCTAAAATGTCAGTGAAGTGGTGGGTCCTGCCAGCTGTCCCAAGGAGCAGCCGCTCAGAAAAGCTGCCCCAGTGGCTTTATTCCCTGCCCCGACCTGAAAATAATTGCAGAGCACATGATTATATTTGCCAGGAGAAGGGAAATCAAATTGATTCTGAAGTGTTTACCCAGACTGTGGCAAAGATCTTTGTTTCTGTTAACACCTATTTACTTTGAGAGCTAATTACTATTTTTGAACTAGTGGAGCCTTGCAGGATCCCAGCTCGTCTGCAGATCTGAGGAAGCCAACAATACTCAAGGAAAGCAAATTTCCTCCTGTCTCAGCCCTGCTTTTCACTGCAGTTTGCACTGCTGCCACGTTGTCTGATTTAAATATGATGAGGGGTGGCCTGCCGGAGACCCTGAGCCACAGGCTACATGAGAAAGACAGACTTGAGTATTTCAAATCATCTGCATTTTCCCTGCCCTAGTGGGCAGGCAGCCAGGGCTCAGCTGTGAACTGGATTTTCTCATATGCTTTGTTTGTTGGAGTTTAAAAAAATACTAAATCCCACTAGACATATCTCATGTGCCATTAACCCTTTCTGGAGCTGATACTTCAGCCAAAACCCATCCTTGTCCCATCCCAAATACACCAGAGATGCAGCTACAGCAGCCTGTAATTTAATTTTTCGTGCACCCATGTGTGTCCATGCAGTGAGCATGTCCTTGCAGGGGTCCTGTGCGTGGATTACTTTGGAGGAGTTCATAACTTTATTAGCTTTATGCCAATATACTGTGCCACTCCCAGCACCTCCCTGGAGCTCCTTTTCCACCTCCTCCATGGAGAAGGGGTTCTTTCTGGGGCTTGGATTTGTGGGTGCTGAGTAAGCACCCATGGGAGCTTATTCATGCACAGCATTAATGTCCCTGTGCTAGAGGTTTAACCCAGCCATGGAAGCAGGGAAAGGCATATTTGCAGGTAAGCAGAGTCCTTGCTCTGAGCTGAAGGCTCACTCAGAGAGAGTGAACAAGGCGTGGGAAAAGGATGGTGCTGGGCTGCTGCCCTGATGGCTTGTCTGGCAGCAGTGGCCTCTCCCACCCAGTCTAGGCATGTTGTCGTCTTTTTTTTTAATTTTATTTTTTCCTTTTTTTTTCATCCAGGACTTTATTTCTCTTGTCCCTTTCTCTACTTTCTGCCCGGGAACTGCTCCAGAGTAGTCCTGGGCTGCAGCTCACTCTGAAGCTCAGCACTGGTATTTTGCATCATGACTGAAATCAATCCCCAGCAATTCCAAGGCTTTTACTGTCTCACTGAATGCAAGTCAGGGACAAGCATTAAAGTTTAATGGAGGTCTGAGTGTTCCTCCCTCCTCCTTCAACTCAGACGTGCTCATTCTAGCAGAGTTTAATGAATCAGCCTCTGGATACCAGCCACTTTCTGCTCACATTGATGAGATCTACACCTCACGTGACTGGTCTCCACTGTGGGTCTCTGGCTTGATGCTGGCCTGGACCCTCCACCAGTTGCTTCCTTCCAGCCCACGAGAGCAAATTTCTTGCTTTAGTACCCACTCAACTTGCTTTGGCTGGGGGTCCCATATGGGTTACTGGCTGGTGGCTCACCAACCTGCTGCCCCTAAGCCTGTGTTATGAGCCCATTTGGCTGCTTTTGCGTCCTCCTCACTTCTCTCCCAAAAATGTTTGTCCCAACATCACACCAGTGATGCCTCCAGTCCCATCAATTCCTTGCACCCAGGTTTGCCTGGGTGTTTGCCCAGCCAAGGGAGTTCAAGGTGGACTGGAGAAGAAAACAACACAAAGATATCCCTGAAGACTTGTTGGGAGCACAGGAGCTGCTCAAAATCTCAATGAAGAGGCTGCAGGCAGCAAGACTAGGGTTAAAACATAGATTTAAACATCATATACCACCCAGCTCTCCCAAACACCCCTGAGTCACTGGTGTTCCCCATCCCTGCATGCAGAAGCAGGGCACTAGGAAGCCCATGCAAGGTGACAGTCCTAGGGTGCCTCCTACATCCCTGCTGCCACTGCCTCTTCCATGGTCAGACAGAACCGAA